GGCAAGAGATTGGAGTTTTGGCGTTGAATTCAGAATCACCTATTATTAATACCTGGAATCCTATCTACCTATGAATATACTTTACTTATGCGATAACGAAAACTCATTTCCAGTAGAGCTTTTCATTAAATGTGAGGCAATAAGTGCAATAATTGAAGGTTATTTCATTGCTCCAGTTATAATCAATAATCGATTTACGCCCGGAAAAATGTAGTCCTGCAGCAGAATACATTCCCAAACCTCTTTGACGGCGTTCCACTGTCAATAAGAAACGGTATTGATTTCCAACAGGACTTTCTTTTTCTGGACTGATTGACTCTGTGCGTTGGCCACCACATTCACCTGATTTAGCACCACTGGATAATTTAATTTTTCGTTGGATACAGAAGTCTACTAGAATTTGCCCAATCCCAATCCAGACGCAGAACTTCAGAATTGCATTATGGACGCTGCCAATAGTCGAACAGGACAGAGCAGTAGCTCATCTCAGAAGAAGAATCGATAAGTGTGTGGAAAACAAAGGTTTAATTTCTGAACACTTGTAAATCTGTATTTCGATTGATAGTAAAATAGTCCAGCTTTTAAAACATTTGGATATTTTTATCCGATTTTGCCACTGAGTTATGTATGGGCTACAGACTATAAAACACAGAGTTATGTATGGGCTACAGACTATAAACCGTCAGTTTTTGTCTGCTCCAATACAAACGGTGGTTCACATTTAATTGCGTCCAATTTGCCCCACCTACCGCAAATCTGACCTTAGAAACAACCGTTTGTCGTAACAAAAAATGAGTGCATTTTTAAAAAGGAGTTTCTATTTGGAATATAATAAGAAATTTGAACAACAATTGTAATAATTCAAAAATGCAGTCGGTGCCATTTTTTAACAAATTCGGTAGTGTGCCGGTACGCACGCCACTGGCAACAATTAAAAAATATATTTTATTGCAAAATATGCAACATGTGAGCTACCGTTTATACTTCTTATGTCTTCTGCAGGGTGTAGAAACATCAATTTACCAACTTACGCTCGCAATGACTTCGCGCCAGAAAATGTTCTAGTGACTTTCGCATAATGTATTCAGTGTAAATGTTGAACAGTATTGGCGACAGTATGCGTCCGAATATCCTTAATCTTATTTCCTTTAGTATTTGCGATGGTTTGCGCCAATTCACTTTATCAAACGCTTTTGTGCAATCCAGAAGCACAAGTATGCTTTCACTTGGATTTAGCTGTTCTTTTCTATTATCTGCCTTACGTTCAAGATCTGCTACCGTGTACCTTTTCCAAGGGCAAATCTTGATTGCTCATCTGCAATCTGCACAGTCTGCAGGGGAACCTTTTTAGCATAGAGGTATTAGCAGAGATTTTGCCCACTCTTCTGGTCATTTTCCGGATGTTCATACCATTGGCAAATAGTATACATGCTGTTCATTCCTGCTATGCCAATTGCTTTAATTGTTTCATCATTTATGTTGTCTGGTCCCGTTGCCTTTCTATCTCCAAGTTTTCTGATAGCTTTCTCTACCTCGGTTTTAAGAATATCCGGCTTCATTTCATACTGTTCTCTGGTTCCACAGATGTTGTAGAGTTATCATGGCACGATTTGGTGAAGTAGTTTTTCCATACTTCGGCTATTTCTTCAGGTCGGTTATCATGTTTCCCGGTCATCTTATATAGGTCATAAATATTGTTCTGGTTCACATGGTTTTTTATTTCCATGCAGATATTGTTTATGTATTGGTTTTTGTCCTTGCGTGTCTCCGTTTTTATTTGTCTGTCTAGGGCTGTGTTAGAGCGCTTGCTATTTCTTCGCTGTTCTACTAGTTCTAGTGTTTCATTCGTCATCCGTTTCCTTATTTGTTTGGCCTGTTATTTCTGGCATTTTGCTGCGGCCAATTCAATTCATCTTCTTATTTCTTCTCATTGTTGGTTTAGGTCATCGTGATCGCCCAGACCTGGTAGTTGAGATAGAGCTTCAAGAAGGTCATTGGTTGATGCGTATTCACATTCCTCTTCTTATTCGAATTGATGAGTTTTTGGAGCATTATTCCAAAGTCTGCAATCATTAGTCTGTCACTTGGCTTGGTTTTCTCGTTTCGGAATGATGATCTCCACCTCTTATTGACTAGTGGTTAGTCAATCTGGTTTGGCAAACCTACCTTCAAGTAATGCCCGTTACTCATGAATGACCTTATATAGTTCCACAATAAGATCGTCTCATCCACTTTCTTCTACTGTCAATTTTTCCTTCGGTTATTTACAAAGTTAATTACTTTCCTTCGCCTATTTACGGAAAATTCCAAATACGTTCATAAAAGACGGACTTTACGAACACTGCAGTACAAATAAATGTTAATCTAATAAGTGAAGTCTTCTTTTCTGAATTTGTAGTGTTTTCTAACAACTTGTTTGCGTGCAAGTGCATTTTACCGCACTCCATTGGGAACGGAAAGCATCACTTTAGAACACCGCGTGCGGCAAAGTTGATTACTTTCATATAAAAAAATTCCCTTTTTTGAGAAAGAGGTAGGTACCTTCAAGATTTATGATTCGCTCGTAACATATTTATATCTAGCAAATGTTCAAGGAAAGTCACTTAACCGCACTCTTTCAAATAAAAAAAATACTGCACACTTTCAGAAAGGAAAAAATTTAATTAAATAATTCATGAAAAATTAATCAGTTTTTGAACCTGCTTTGTGCTGAAGTGGCTTGGACGCCCGCTTCGTTGCCTACCATTGGAGTGCGGTAAAATACCACTTCCCGTACTTTGTAAGTAAATCATTATTATATTTATTGGTAACTCTCTAGTGGAATTTCAGGACACTAAATTTCGATTCGAGTAAACTATTTAAAACCGCAATTATTAACCTTTGTAAAATTCTTGGTATCTGCTGTGGTTTCCGAGACCATGAAGTTATTTAACAAAAGAACGTCTACGTATTCATTACTATTATTAGGTATTATTGGTATATTAACTGGTTTCTAATAATTGCAGAAAATTCTATAGAAAAAAGTCTAAAAAACACAATCTATTTGGCTAGACATTTGTTATCGCTTTGGAAAGTATGAGATTAATATGGCTCAATCTAGTGATTTAGTAAATTGGTCCAATTAGTAGGAATAACATTTCCTGATGCTAGATGTATCTATAATAAAGGTTAACGTTTGTACGGATTTTGATCGCATGGTACATACTTTAATCAAATTTCAATTATAGTTTCTCTCTTCTACTCTTCATAGCTACAGTCACGTCAAATTTAAACAGTTTTGTTCTATAGCTTTCTTTTGCATGGACGCATTTTTTGCCTTTTGCATTTGAAAATGCAATTCGAACCTTATTATTAGCAGTTCGTTACGTATAGTCCAATCAATATGCGATTGAAAATCTTTTTCACTCCTGAAATTATGGAATTTGTTTGCATACATGGAACATTATCTTGAACATTGAAAGTAAACGTTTATACGGATTTTTGTGATAAAAAAGAGGTAATAATGTTTGACCACCAATCTCGAGTATAAATTTATTGATTTATTACACTCAATTTCAAACTCAATTAGTAGCGATTAGTCGCAGAGTTTATCGTAAATTATATAATAATGTGGAATATTCAGGTGTCTCTATCATTTTCTGAGGTAGGTAGGTACTCTTAAATGTATTTCTGGGAGACTCGGAATTAAACTTTTATTGTGTGTTTCCAAAAACACGTATTCACAACAAATATGTTAAGAACTACGCGAACTGATAAATTTCTAGTTGAGAGTATGTTTTATTGCAATAAAACAAATAGCATGGCAGCTCTGGATGTCCTTGTTTCCGATTAAGAAATTTCTGCCGCAATAGAAATTAGACCCATACCAATAGTGTTGAGTAATTTTAGGATAAAACATATCGAGTTTTGTTTAATTTTCACTATAGTGCTGTGGTTTTAAGTCACAGTTAAACCTAAACACCCTCTACGGCTCCCCCAGAAAGTGGGGCCAATTTAAAATCACATCGCATAGACGAAAACACATTTGAAAAAGTTCTTTCTCATCATATTTGGAAACATTTTTCATTTTCATTATCAAACATGAGATTGATATTGCGTTTGATTCGTACCGGCTGGTGATAGAGCTGTGAGAATTTCAGAAGTTTTTGTAGCTCTTTCTGTAGCTGCAAGTACACTTATCAGATCTAAAAATGTTTAATTAAACACCAGCGAATCATAAAACTAACTGCCAATAATAGTTAAAACTCACTACTTTTTCACGTGATTGCGAATGGTCCCTGTATATTGCCGGTACTGAATTCGCGGCTTCATATAACGTTCAATTACGCGAAATGTGGGTAAAGCTTGTTTACCGGTTGTTCAAAACGGACGCAAGTTGCCATGTTGGTATTTCAAGCTGTCCTCCATCTCTCGGAATTGGCATTGTCTTTTTTTCTGTGTATTTATTCTTTTTTTATGCCTTATTTCGTACTTTGTTCTTGGTTTCAATTAGTAATTCGTCACGTAGTGCAGCGTTTTATTTCCAAGATTGATGGCTGCCCGTCTACTGCTTAATTATATCTTATTACAAGAAATGCTGCATTAGTTAAAGCGGCCTAGTTGCCCGGATGGTAATTAGCAGACTTTTTCCTTACAAAATCGAATGGTTTTTGTAGTGATAAGTATGGCAATTAGCACATGTATTTTTGTTTGTTTGTTTTGTTTGGCGGATTGTTTTTGTTCGGATATGTTAATTGACCTTTCCGAGACAAATGACTCTATAAATGACGATTATGGAAATGTTGAAACGTAAGGAATTAAAACGAAATCACATTAAGCTCACTCTGACATTTCCGAGAATATAGCCCAGTGGTAGGTTCATTGGCTGCTTACTTCTTCCTAGAACAAAGAGAAACAACTAATTAGCATAAACAAAAATATAATTTTAAGACAGTAACAAATCAAACGAAAGCATAAACGGGTTGGAATAAAAGCGGACGCCTACAGAACACTTCTCATTTTCCACCTCATTTGGTTCCCTCAATTCGCAGATAAACACGCATGCCGGAATTTTTATTACACTTTTCAATAAAAAGTGTTCTAAAGCAGCCAATATCGAATAGCACGGTCCAGTAGCTGTTAAATGGCGTATAAAAGGAATTTTAAAGTCTACATCGCGACCGAATCCCATATCGCGTTCGCCTGCTGCTGTTCACCCTCTCAATAATTTCACAGGAAATAAAATCCAGACCTGGTTTATGACTCGTGATAATTGCTATTGGTTTTTCGTAAATGGTAATTACCTGTGTGATGTATACGAAACGACAATACATACAGTAGCAATAAAAATTGCAATATTCGAGATAAGTTTTAACACTCGATAAATTAATTTTTCTGCATTTCCGCAGTTTAACTACCACTCAAGTGTAATTATTTCAATAATTCCGAACACATTTTGGCCCTGAAAAAATACTAAGGTTTTAAAATAAATCAGTTCAGTAAAACTTATTTTTGTCGGTTAGGGTGAGAAACAATTAAAAAGTTGCCAAATTGAGAGTTCTTCACATGCACAAAACCAAGTGAATTTTGTGTATGTATACGATTGGAGTTAACAATGATATGAAGAAATGAAATGATGGCCCTATGTGATAATAATGAGGAGCCTTTGTGTGTTGTTCAAATGGAACTGTTAACAGACATAATTATCGATTTTGATAATCTGAAACTGCACACATGATGAGTATTTCATGCAATTCGTCTCAAAATCACTTTGTGGCCTGCCATAACTGGTAACAGAATTTTAGAACTCTATTTGACCAAAAATCTTACTACTCAGCGATATTTCGATTTCTTCTCAGTTCTCATTGGGATTAATTTGAGAGACAGTGAGTTTTCCGTAAGAAAATGACGATTTGTCGGAAGTTTTTGAACCGATATTGAATGGCCATCACAATCACCGCACTCTGCACCATTTGAGGTTTTTGTAGGGATGTTTAAAGGAAAAGTGTATATTAGATAGATCCGAAAACATTGAAAACTCGAAACGTAAGATAAGGATAGGGATAGGAATAATTAATATTTCAACAGAAAATATTCCTTGCACATATATCTAGACTTGGTGCAAGTCACGTGGAATGTGGACGTCATTTTCATCATTCACTACATTGAATCAAATTATGTAACCTGCGTTTATCTATCTATAATAACGCATTCATAGATAAACAAAATTGAAAACTTAAAAAATAATTAGCCGATGTTCTAAAGAAACGCAATGAGCTGATCTAGATTTGGTGTCCGGATGCGAAGACCTCAAAGTTCAGCTGTCTCCATTAGTGACATTAAAGATGTAGAAGGTAATTAATAACTATCTATATAATCAGCATTGAATTATTTACTATAAATCTTAACTCGCAAGGCACTATTGATGTTTTTACAACACACTGATTGAAATAGGCAAGTGCACATTTCAAAATGCCCTAACCTCAGGCACCCCCAGGATCGGTTTTGAGACTCTTAGCTCTCATTAGCTGGGTTGAGCCTGAAATTAGCGATTCCGAAACCTGCAACTTTATAATGCCATTATAAAATGCAATAATAATAATTTATAAGAAGCAACCGCATCCGTTGCGACTTCAGGAGATTGGCTGACGTCTGCTATAAAGAATTCCGAAACTGTTGTTCTACCAAATAAACCCTCCAGTCTATAAACAACAGAAGACAATTTTTTCAAGAAACAGACGACGACGATCTGGATAAGCAAAAGACTGAATCAATTGGAAGCAATAAGACAAGCCTTCAGTAACCCAAAAAACACCTTATTAAATAGATTTTTCAAATATCGTCAAACCATATAAAACTATAAAAATGGGAACTCAAGCTCAAGAAACGGCAAAAAAACTGAGATAAAACGTTAAAAAACCTACAAGTTTTGAAGAAAAAGCATTTTAAAATTTATTTTAACTTTTTTAGATGTATTATTATTATTTGCGTTAAAACAAACAACGTGTTTGGCAAAAGTAAATTTTGGAGATAAGAAATAAGAAAATAAATTAAGAAGATAAAATTTTACTAATTTTACTAACAGAAACTTAATTCCAACATACATTTTTGTTTGGCCGCTATTATTGAAAGAAAAGCAATTTAAGTTTTTAATGTTCTAGTAGCACCTGAATATTTGCGTATTATTTAGCACTATTCCACTTCATTTCGAGAAATAAAGTATATTTGAGCAACTCGCTATTTTAAATGATGATAGATGATTCAATTACCAGTATGTTTTTAATGTAATTCTGAAACTAAACATTCCAACATAAGGAAAAAATATCTACTTATAATTGTTTTTATTTGAATATTTTCTACCATATGTAGTTCATAGACATACACGTTTTATTACTTAAACGACCATCGGCCTACATTTCAAGCTTTGAAAAATAGATCCGACTTGTTTCAAATATAAATTGAATTTAAAAGGAAATTTTAAACCTCTACTGTTTGGATACTTGATTTTGTAACTTATATATAGTATAGCAAAATATATGATGGATGGTTCAATTCGAAAAAAATCACTAGCTCTCTAAGTCACCTAAGCACTTCTAAATCTGAAGAAAATTCTAAAAATATAATTTTCTGAAATTACCCAGCCCCCAATTTTGAGTCTTATTTCCCGGGTCGTAATGATGGGTACGTAGAAAACGCACTACATAACGTAAGCAATAAATATAAACATATAATTTACATTGATGTTTTGTAGCATACATATATTATTAGCCTATTGCAAAAGGTGTACTACAAACATTCTTTCCCAAAACAAAATAAAAATGACTGGAAAAAGCGAAAACGTCTACAAATTAAACCATTCAGATGGCCAGTAGGACGATCGCAAATACGTGGCCTTAATTGGCTCAATAGTGCTTGGATACATCGATTTAGTCCAAATTCGGGACACAATGAGATTCACATATCAAATAAAACAAATTTACCTCATTCCGATACCCTTTTGAAAATCGTTCGAATCAATTTTCACCCTCCTGAAAACGAATGGAAAAAACGCTCGTGTCTCACGTTGCGTTCCCGGATTTCTAATATAAATTCACGGCGCGTTCCGGCCGTTATCTCCACCCCGCAGTAACCCCGTAACAGCCCAAAAAGGGGGCAATCTAATCGGGCGGCTGCCCCGCAAAAGACGCCCTTATCGGACCGTTTTTACATTTTGTTCAAGCGGTACCCTTTATTGCTGTTTATCGTGCAAGAACAGAGGCGGAATCGACGCGAATGTTAACAGCAATCAATTTTCCTACCTAATGAACAAATCAATGAGCTTCCGGATGAAATATTGACTGATATTAGTAAACAAGTTTACTAAGCTAATAAAAATTCTTGTATCCCTGTATTGGCAGGAATCTCCTTCTTCGAAGGACAAATCTTTTGATGAACTGAATTAAACATTCTAAAATATTTTTCGGTTCATTATTTAAATAATTATTATTTTTATTAACATTTTTTCAAAAATCTTGACTCGAAGAACTTTATTCACCAAATAAAGTATTTATAGGATTTTGTTTCCATATTTCCATTTTAAAATATTTTACATTGCATTTTTCTGTTCGAAAGGAAGGGGAATTAAATAATGTCTTTTATTATATAATAATTTCAACAGAATATTGATATAATTTTAATTATAAATTTCCGCAGGCAAAAGTAATCGTTCCAAATATTATTAAATTTGATTGAACCTAGAATAACAGCAAACCAAGACATACATTAGTCAGAATAATGTAAATTACGGCTCTGCTCTGAAAAAAGGAAAGTTTACTTAAGGGTTGTGTTCCCTAAAAGGCATGGCCAATATTGCAAGAGTCGTCAGTGCATTAATTTCATCGCAGTGTTTATTTGATTTGAGGGGATCGCTTGGAGATTACCCCAGCAGACTCCTACAAGTGTGGGAGATAGCGGGAATTAATAACCCTTGTAAGTCTTTGTAGTAGACAGCAATGAATACACTTGCAATATGTCTTTACTTTTTGATTTATAGAGTGAGCAAAAGTATCTGGCATTTACACAGGAAGTCGTCAAATAAAGAATATGATCACGCGAGATTTAATATGCAAATTTCTTTGAAAACTTAACTCAGAAGTACGGACGAAAGAAATGTAGTGTATCTTCTTCTTAGTCGTTATGTGCTTTCTTTCCACTCCTGTCTATCTTCTGCCATTGTGAATGTTTGGGTGAAGTTTTTGCTGGTAAGGCCGCTGGTCTTACGGTGGTCTTAAATTGAATTACTTGAGGCCTTAAATGATTCTAAACATTACAGTATTTAACATATACAGCATTTTTGGGTCAGCAATTTTTATTATCTAAGAACATCATTATGTATCCTCGTACGATCCCATCGTACTCATGTGAGCACCATGAAGAAAATGTACAGAAGGATCTGCAAAAACATTATAATTGAATGTATACCTTTAATATCAAACAAGCGACGCAGACAGTTGTATTGTCGATAGTCAGTATCTTATTGCTGTAATTTTTCCGTGACTGCTCAAAATAAGTTGTTGGTATTGTAAATCACTAGATTTCCTTTGTTGATTAATTGGTCATATAGCACCAGAAATTATATTGTTTTATGAGCTACTAAAATTATAATTATCTTCGCGGAAAAGACCCGCTAATCTTACTGGACTTATTTGAGTACAGTGGGTAACAGGACCATTTTTTACGTCCTGCTTTTTAAGAAGTATAACACTTTTATATGCGATAAAGTAATATATTTCCTGTACTGTTTTTTTTAGAAAAGTTTAACAAATATGTCGAGGGTTCTCTTCGATAGTTCGAATTTTAATAAGAATACATCGGTTTCCACATCATTTTTTTATGGTAAAAAGTATAAAAGACTTGAATTT